TTTTAAAGACTCCTATCCAAACACTTAAATTTGCTTATTGCTGTGGGATTAAGCAATAAGCAATAAGCAGCCTAGTTTTTCCCTATCCAAACACCCCCTTAATATTCTAAGTGACAAAATGATGATTTTACCCAGACCCTCGTTTTCTCAAATTACGCTTCTAATTACCACACTAATCCAACGTTCCTTTTTTTTTTGGATAATCACTTTACCGGTTTTAGTTTCATTAGTTTTTATTTAAACAATAAGTATAATAGTATAATAGTTTTTATTACTTTTGAAGTTGTAATTCGTTTTAATTAATGGTTTTGTATATAGCTATTACAAAAATATAGTGGCATTATATTTTCTTCATCTTGTTGATTCTTTTTTAGTTTATAGTTTTTGTGAATACTCATTGTTTATTATTCCTATGAATAATCATTGTTTATGGTTATTTTTATGGTTTTGAATAATCACTATAATCGATAATTTCTATGATTTTGTGAAGAATATTGTTTAGCTATTTTATAAATGGTATTTTTATAAATAAAGTTTTTATGTAATAACAGATATTAGATAAATATTTATTTATCATTTAATATTCTCTTAGTTATTATGATAAAATGGTATTTATTCGTAAGAGATTTTGTGTATACACTACTTATTTAGGCCGGGCCGGGTGTCTGGAAGTGCTTATTTGAAATGGTAAGTGTTTTTTAACTTATAAGTTTATTAGTTTATAGCGAACAAAGTTTTTAAAAAATGTTTGGATTAGTTTATACGGTGTCAAAACGCTGTAAATAAACACATTTTTAGTGTTTGACAAAATAACCAAAAAAATGTTTCCTAGTGATGTAGAACAACTATAAATAATAAGGATTTTTGATTAGTTAGGTGTTAGTGATTATTAAAAATGGTTTATCTTCTGTTCCACACTGTAATCTACTATTTTTAAAAAGTTATCTGTCCAAACACTCATTTTAACTTGTATCAGTGTGGAATCAATAATAATTTAAAAAGCTTATTTTTAAAACTTTACCAAACACCCTCTTAAATTACATATCATTACTCATTCCATCACTTTTATGCATGCATAAGTTTAAAAAAAAATGCCTTTAGTCCCTTTATAACCGTTTACCTTTAATTTTACATGATCATAACAATCTTGTTTGTTTTCTGCTTAAAATGTTTCTTCATAATCGTTGCAATTTGCATCTACCAAGACTAAACGGCTACATGGCTAAAACTTAGATGACCAATTATAGCTACTACCATTCCCCAATTGAAGTTGGAAATTTAAAATATTTGAAAAAAAAAATCATTTTCATTAGTTGCCAAATCTTGCTAAATATGTAACAACTTCAGTTGCCTTACATAATTCACAACTTTAAATCCAGAAACAACTCATTCGATAAAAATCAATGTAGCTATTTTACTTGTGAATATCATTGACCAAGGATTTTTCATGTGTTCCTCCTTGAAATATTCGACTTATTGCAACATTATACATTTGTTAACCAGATCATTTGACATGAGTGTGAATTGTGAATTCAGTAACAAAAGATAATAAAACAAAAACAACCATAACATAACATAACATAACGATAACTGGTAAACAAACAAACATCAGTTCCTAACACATACCACCTCACGTTTTTTACAATCCAACAACGAAATTTACGGAAGTAAAAACACACACGACGAAAAAGACTTTATTTAAACTCTTTTTTTTAGAAAATATTTACAGTCAGAAAAGTCTGTCCCTCCCTCAAGCTGCTTCAGCAAATCCAACACGTAAGCGCCCATAATCAAACACCGTATGGTATTGACCCATAAAAACATCTCCCAAAATCCTGCAACAAAATATCCACAATATTAATCACATTTTGTTACATGACTTTTACGGCTATTTTTGGAGGACATTTACGTCTTTTTCATACAAAAAAGTAAACATGTCAAACACAGTACAACATTGTAGAGGTAGAGTAAGTAATTACCAAAGCGGTCCACGAGGTGGGGCCACATCCATAGCAGTAAATCCACTGATGCATTGTGCTACTTCTCCCTCACCAATTTTCAGAACATACTGATCAATCACAACACATTTAAAACATTAGACTAAATGTACAATTTTCGTCCCTGTAATACCTGATTTTTGCAATTTTGGTCCTTATTTGAGGTTCTTATAAAAATTTTGGTCCCTGGGTATACCTGATTTTTACAATTTTGATCCCAAAAAGTTCTCTTACAATTTTGATCCTTACATTTTACTTGGAACATCAACCAAAAACTTCAAATAAATACTTTTTGGGACCAAATTTGAAAAAATCAAGGACTTTTACATATTTAAAATAAATAAAAAAGTTGTTACCTGTTCTGGGGAAAGCTCAAAAATTTTATCACCAATAGTAAACGCGATATTGGGCATGGAGGAAAGACTGCTGCACTCAACTGCAGATTCTCCCATTGGACTGGGCAGCTTATCACAAAGCTGAATTTAAAAAGATAATTAAATCAGTGTTCCGATGATAATAAAGTAGGGGTAAAAAAGTAATTTTAATTGTTTTTCACCTCATTGACATAGTTAAGTATGTTATCTTCAGTCTGATTCTTTTTTATTTGAGTTTGCACCCAAACAACTGCCATCTCACAGAAAGTACACATCTCATCATGTACACCAACACCACCATTATTCTTGTCAACCACACTCTCAATTATTGAACTGTAAAAAAAATTAATAATTATTACCTAATATTCATTTTATATAATTAGAAATATAATATGATCATAATTCATAATTTATAATTCATAACCAATGCAATGTGAAACTGACCTAACATCTCGGGCACCATTAAAAGTACATAAGTTCATTTGAGAACAGATTTTATCGGGTTGTGCCTATACAACATCACGAAAAAAGATTAGGGGTAGAATCGGAAATATCTAAAAAGTAAAGTATTAATAGAATGTTTTACCTCGGATAAGAGCATCTCGATTATAGTCTTTCCATATTGATTAACCAATGTCTTGCATTGCTGACTCATTACTCCAGCAGCACCAATTGCATGGTTGATTTGAGTAATAATAGTCTAAACAAGTTTCATTTTTTTTTATAAATATGTTAGTTTTTTTATAAAAAAAAATGCTTAAAAAAATTTGATTTTTAAAACATACCGTTGGACCTGCCAACAAAGAGGTTCCAGAATCAGCAATTGCTGCACAACCATCACTGCAAAATCCTGAAATTGAAAAACACTGGTAAATAAATAAAAAAATTTCTACAATTTGTTATAATTCTTAATTTCAGATGAAAAAACAAGAATAGTTTGAGATTACCAGTAGTTGTATCTCCAATAAGGACATCGCCCATATCAAACTAAAAACAAAAAAGAAAAATGAA